GCCCGAGGGGTGGGGGGGGGGATTTTGTGATGTCATATCTCCACACCAGATACCAGATACCAGATCTCCACAGGGGGCAGGCTTATTTCACTCGGCTTAGTAAGCAAACAATAAATCATGACATTTAAATTTCATAGCCACGCCCTAGCAACCAGTCACAGCACCCTAGCAACCACCCCATAGACATCCATTGAAAAAGGGGAAAGGCATATCTAGAGACAAGTGGGTGGCCTCTTTTGACTCAGACTGGCAAGTAGTTCTTACATATCACCATGGAAACTGTTTAGCCACGCCCTAGCAACCATTTACAGCACCCTAGCAACTGATCCCATAGACTGCCATTATAAAAGGCCCAGAAGGATATCTTTGCATCACAGTGTCATAGAGGCATGGGGGTGGGCTCATTTTACTCAGGCAACTAATCGGTCTTTCAGAATCATCGTGAAGCTATCAAGCCACAACCTGGCAACCATATAGAGCAGCCTAGCATTTTGTAGCTCATAAATTAGGCTAAGAACATGCTAAGAATTCTCTAAAACTCCACAGTAACGATCTGTGACAACTACCAACTGCCTAGCAACACCCTAGCAACCACCCAGGTTACCATAGCAACTGCCTAGCAACCACCCTATAAAAAATAAAATAAAAAAATCCCACTGGGCGTATTTTATATGTTTGCTACATTCGCTTCCGGTAAAACTCCCGTAATTTGTATGGGCCAAACCTCATATGAATAATCACGACAACAAATCCCAGGGTTGTCCAGTTGCCAGATCTTGTATGAAACGCATCTTTCTCACACGATCGACGCATAAAATTTCAACCCATTTATCCCCTCAACTTGGCAATCTGCAGCCCAGTGATGCTATTGATATGTACAGGTAGTACCGCGGGAAGGAAACCATGATCACTGGTAGAAATGGGAGAAGACTCAGGTGGTGCTCCAGTGAAAAAAACTAAACATACATGTAAATTGAGATATAGCTTGCACTTCAAAAGGCTATTTAATAGATTAAATATGAGCGCTGCAAGTTTCAAAGTCAGGTGCTGCGCTGCTTTGTTTACTGCGGTTATGAGGGAAACGGCTATATTCCTGGCGAAAAGCGCCACCTGCTGGCAGAGAATGAATGAATGAACACGCAGTTGTAAGTGTGAACTGGTGGATCGACAAGAAGATAATGAATTATAAAACTCTAAAGATATAGCTTACACTAAGATATATTTATGTTACTAAATGGGTATAATTGTTTGATAATAATTGTTCAAATTAATATAAAAATAATATAATATAATACATATAATATAATATAATAAAAAAAAATTGTTACTTTTGACTCCGCCCCCCAATTTCCCATATTTTGGTACCCAAATGTTGACAGGTATGCCCGAGCTACCACCCAGGATACCTTAGCAACCGCCTAGGAACATTATTATTATTATTATTATTATGTTTTTTTTTTTAATAGTGACTGAGCTTTACAAAACATGCCAATAATACTTTAACATCTTAACAAAATATAAATTAAACAATATACCCAAGACAACATAAGAATGAAGGAGCCAGAGTCCAGAGTGCTGGTATGGATCAGCGATCCACCAGTCCAAACAGAATGAGCATGAGAGGAAAATTAAAGGTCCAAACAAGTACTGTCTGCTGGAGCGATGAAACAAACAGCCATGACAGGGAAAAATGGCAGGACATCAAGTGGCAAACAAGAACGCATTATGGCCACAGCCACCACACAACAAAATACCTCTGTCCAGGACACAACTGCACCGTCCCCAGCGGCACAAACATATCACAGTTACTACTTTTTTGGTCCATAATCACATTTAAAAAAATGCTTCTTTATTAAAATAGCAGTGCAAACTGTCTCCCCTTCTTCATATTTGCATAATGCCTAAGCCATCCGACTGAATTCCAGTATGATTTAGCAAAGGTTACAAATCTTCCAGTAATCTTGCTGATAAGTCAGTGTGACACAGACACGACCCAGGGAGAGTATGGCCTTCTCCAAGGGTCTGAGATCGCCTCTCAGGAGCAGTGTGAGCTACAGAGTGACGGGGATAACATCTAAGCTTGTTAATGCCCTTCACTGGCCCATCACGATCCTCTCTTCAGCCCTCTTAAAGAGTTTCTGTAAAAGATCACCACTGCCCTTCAAACCGCCACCGTCACCGTCAAGATTCAGTGTCAGGTTCACTTAGAAATCGCCTCTAAGGAAGCAACACAGAGCCATCTGGTTTTCCTGTGGAGCTCTCCGAGTGATTCGGATAAAACCAGGTCACATATTGAAATGAATGTATCATTCAAGAAATCTGTACAAATCCATATTTATAGAAAGAACGGCAAGTTCTCCAGTTCTGAATGGCTAAGAAGCACTCAAAAGGGCTATAATGAGAAAGTGCCAGGAACACTATTCTTTCATCTTTTCTAGTGATCTCACAAAGACACCGCAGCGCCAGTATCAGTTCCTTCTCTTCTGTTTTATTAAGAAACTTCCCGAAGATGCAAAACATAGAAAATGTTAGCAATGACATATTTTGGGGCATCTCTAACAGCAAGCATGTAGTCGTGTAAAATTAAACAGGGCTTGCAAATTTCAAGAAATCCTGCCAAAGCTATATAGTGCAAGGATGTACTTATTATTTGTGGCAGCGATATTCATGTGCGCAGTCCCTCTGGCATTTATTATTTTCTTGCAAGTTTGCTTGAACTGCTTAAACACTTTGAGGATTCAACATAGAAAACCTTAGCGACTTTGAAAGCAAAAGATCTTTTGAGAACAGATTTTTATAAATTTTTCATTAACAGTGGGGGGGGGAATTCTGTTTAATTCACAGAATTAAAACCCTGAAATGTAGAAGATGGAGAATCACACAGTTGGCTTGAAAACGTTCCTAGGTTTTACAACAAATTGAGACTATGCCAGTATCATTTGGTTTGAAGATTCACTTCACTACACACATTTAAGCTTCAAGATTCAACATTTGGTTGGGGAATGGGTTTTAAACTGTAGAACTGGCTGACTCCCTTATCAGCAGACTATTCATCACCGTCCTGCTGCCTTAGATATGTAGCGCTGGGGCTGGATCTTGCTGCTTGGACTCTCGAGTGACAGGGCATTTCCTGCCCTCAATGTTCCATCTTTTGTACCAGCTAATACATGGTCTATCGATTGGATTTGTAAAAAAGCTGGATGTACTTTCGGATGTTTTTTGTTAAGTCCCAAAGGGAAAGCAAAAGTCTCCAGTATCTAGGTGGGTGGACAGGAAAGCGCTACCAGGAAGTGACTGACTCTCTTTTATCTTTAAATAGAGAATCAGTGCCATGTTTCTAAATAAACTGACCATAAGCTATTGGATATAAAGTATAAGATTATAAAATATAGGCCACAACTACTAGTACACTTTCTTCTAAAGTTTTTGTTGTTG